ATAGACAAACATGCTGCGGCTTAAGTCACTTAGTAGAGGCAAAAAATCATCGAATTCATTAGGAGGCTTTATAACATCCCTACATATCTATAGAGCTTACAGTGGATGAGATACATAATGCATCCTTTAAAATAAAAGAAATATAGAGAAAGTAACACGTATTGTCAAGTGTGCACATAGATGAAGTATACTGTTAGACTCAGACACATGCCACCCAAAAAAAGAAGTTCTATGTCAGTTTTTGAGCTATAAAGCACCTAGCAAGTCCCCTTACACATTCAATTCATCCTCCAAAGGCAGTTGGTGAAAATCCAACAGGGAATGTTCTGTCCTTTGGTAAAGTAAGGGCTCTCAAAATGTTAGAGTAACCGACGCACATTTAAACTATGAAGCAAATGCTCTATGTTTCTTTCCTTAACAACACAATTTGAAAGGACAACCTCAACGTCTCTTAGGAAGATTCACCGAAAAGAGTAGATAGAAAGTACCAAAAAAATTAGTATGCCGTTTTACGAAGTAACAAATGCTCGTAGGCAGTAACCGCGCCCAGACGCATTGCACTGCGCCAATTGTTGGCCGTCGTTCACAAGTTCACCATCGCCCACATTGAGCCCAAGTAGAAAAGTTGTCTGTTTCTGCTTCTGGCAATCTTAGCCGTCAAGCATGTGCTAAGATTTTTAGGGTGTTAGTTTCAAATATCCGGGGAATCCTACACTTGCGTACTTCCGGGAGTCTTCCTTCAGTTATGTATTTTCCAAATATGCTAGATCTGAGCAATATGTCAACTAGATTTGCTCACTTCTGGAAGATGGATCTCAAAGTAAATTTTCTTTCGAGAAAACAATGCTTTGCAAATATATGCAAACAGCTTTAGTTGCAAATTTTTATTGAATCGAAAATGACTGAGTGGTTGCATTAAACTATTGGCCGTAAAATACTCGTTCAATTGTTTAGCTTTTGCAAAAAGTTACAACAACACTTTTTTCCTCAAAGTTAAGGTAGAGCACGATAAAAGACAGGTCTGATAAAGCTTTAAAGAAGAACATGTGAGTAGGTAAGATACACATGCATGTAAAAAAGGTAAATATCTGACTCGTTGGCAGATTGAGGTAAATGAAGGAATTTGATTTAGGGATTTTGAAAAAAAAAGTTGATGATATACCTCCTTCTTGCAGTTCCTTTACATCATATCGCAACAATTGTAACAAGGAGTAATCACATAATAGTAGGTACAGTGACACTGTTGATGATTGTATGATATTATGATGGTAAAAGTGACTTTTGGCGCACTCCGAGTGCAAAACATGCCAGAGCAGTGTCGACGTACCCCTATTCTCAAGACACGAGCTCGCAATCATTAATGATGCTAGCCGTTTTGCTCGTATTACCAAACCGAAAAAAGTTCATTTTGTGCGTTTTGCTCCATTCAAATGCTAGGCTCAGCACATAGAGAAGAAGTGCAAAAGCAGTTCATGATAACAATCATTATTGAAAATGTAGGTTGATTAAGTCCGGCTGCAGTTTACCTTAAAAGATTCAAAAAAATCTATTTATAAGGACTTTTGAACAAAATATCACTTCCCTCCTGATAGATATGCACCAATAGTATTTGACGCATAGCAGTCTCTAATGTTCTTCCATTGAAATCCTTGCAAATAAGCACAGAGGGGTTCTTCGATATCAAAATCAGGGAATTAATAGAGAAAAGAATTTACCTTCAAGACATAAGTATTAGAGTAATTCTACTCAAACTGCCAAATGAACAAAGATAGACGGCACTCCATTTTTCATCAACTTTACTGTCAAACCCCTATGTGACATTAGATCATGCCACCTAGAAACTCAAAATCTACTAAGCGAGTATTGTTGATTCTAAACGCCAGATCTTCTTGAGAAACTTCCATTTAGACCAGTACGGTAACTAACTTATATCTTTGCAGCACTTTGGCTCTCTTTAGGCATTTCAGACTGCATGGTACGTTTCCCATAGATTAGTTAGGTAATTTTTACCTTAAGTCAGGCAGCTTCTTGAAAATTCATTTGTTACGAAAGATAATGGATATCGCTTCTCTTTCTCACCCGTTTTGCCTATGGATGCTCCTTTATGCATACCTCCATTCTGTAGTCATTTAAGATGGAACAAAGAAGGAGTATATTTATTATGAACATGTCTGATAGACGCAATTATAAGAAGAAACAAAATAGGCGTGAGGCACTAGCTAACACTCGAGTCAAGGATGGGAGTTCGTCTTCTGAGCGCCTGGCGTCTCCACATCCTAAAAACACGTCCTTCGGGCGATTAATGGCCGTGGCTGCCATGAGAGTAACCTTATGTTGTTTCATCCTGACGTGATATGCAGCCGCTTTTTCAGTGAAACGCATTTTTAGAAGAGAATGAACTTATGAACAAATTTACTAACAACCATACTTTGATGTACTCTCACGGATCACTGCATCATTTAAAACAGTTGCTCTGCTTCAAATCACCTCCATTCGCAATATACCATCCAACGTCCTAATACGGGATTACCTCTTGAAAAATCAAATAGTGGAAGGAAACGCGACGTGAATTTCTCAGCGATACGGGAAACAGACGATCTCGCTAAGAACTTCACCAAAAGCTAGCATCAGTTCATTTTGGAACAACAACAGCATAAAACATACCAAAACTCCCAGAGCCTTTGAAAGAAAATTCTTTACAAGGTGAACGTAATTAATTTAATTCGACTTTTCTGAAGAGAAGCATTTATCAAGCGGAGATCCTCGCATTAGCGCCCTGTGAACAATCCTTTATGGATAATATCGCTTCCGCCAGCTTGCGTGGCTCCTTTCAATCAA